GTCGTCGTGAGACTGCCCCTACGTGGGGTAGATTGATTGAGAGGTTCTGCTACAAGCATGTGGGACATTAGAGTTTCACTATCAGGGCTAATGAGTCCTCGACCTCGAGACACACGCTCGTGATCACCTACTCGGCGAAGGGGGCAGAGACGGGAGTGAAGGGCACCACATACGAYAGGATTGCGTACATATTTCGCAGGGAGAGCTATTGGAGGGACAACTGGCTACACGTGGWGTTCCCTCGCGTACCTTCAACACCTGGGGGTGTGCTCTTCRATTTTAACGGATGCAACCCCAAGCCTCTTAGTGAGTCCCGCAGCAAGGAGAAGAGGCRGAAGGACGACCGGATCCGGAGAGAGAAAGCCAGATCCGGGGTCCYAATCACCACATGCGTACAGAGATCARAGACWGATGAGTCGGACTTGGAGCCCTACTCTGTGAGTGACGTTGATCTTGGTGACTATTTCGACTGGGACACTCACAGAGGTTGAGTTTGATGACAGTAGCAGGAGCGCTGGAGACCGGTTAGCGGAGACGACGGAGGGYGACATTGAGGAGGATCGCATATCTTCTCGCGCGGTACGTACTTGAGGGTGATTGACTCCTACATGTCAGACGACCCTAGGTCGGAGACAGTTATTGGTCCCCCAAGAGGCCCCAAGAGGGGAGGGACCGGTCCCATATCTCGGAGATGGCTACAGTCATTTGGTTGAGACGGACTTTGCTATGCAGGCTTTTCGGAAGCCTCTTTACGGAGATCGCTTTCTCGAGGTTTCCTACATCTACTCTGGTGGGAGAGGAAGGATTGAGATATTGATTGGAGCTTCGGGTGACATCACTCTTGCGGAGGAGCTCCATCTCAGGAGTGTCGCAGACGAGGAGATGGCGAGATGCATGGCCTATATCTGCAAGATTGATCCAGCAGCGCCTCTCGATATCAGCTATGTGGTTCCAGAGTCTATAGCCACACGGGTTCTCAATGACGAGGCGCCAGATATGGAGTCCCAGACGGCAACACTTACTCACGAGGGGGTACCGCTTATTATCATTGATTGAGGTTCTCCCTTTTCAGTCACTATGATGTATTACGACAATATTATTTATTAGTGATTGCAGCCCTCCGATGGTTGCTCCCTGCATATTCTCTGTACTACTCTTCAGTCTTGTATCTCCGGTCATGCTCTTGCAGAGTCTGGTTTTTTGTCTTCTCATTCTGTCAATGTCAATTGCTTTACGATGTATGTATGTTATTTTCCTCCTTATGATACACAGGCTACACTCAAGGCAGTTTGAAGGACTCCTGGATGATAGGGACTCCGGTGACCTTGAGTCTATCCTTTATACGGGGTCAGGTGCAGGTGATAAACCCGAACGCCTCACTCTAAGCCGTGTCGTCGCTGGCAGGAGGAATAACCCTGACTACTTGGCTGTATGACAAAGACTGCCTCTGAATACACCTCTATTTATATACCTATCAAAATTCTGCGTAACAGCCTGTCAGTCCTCCAACCCACTGAGCTCAGTCAGGGGAAGGATATCTAACCAGACCCTTGAAGCAGTGGGGGCGCGACAAAAATGACGCCGTTGTCGGGGACTCAAAAATCTTGAGTTCCTGGGAGCGGACCTTGGTCACAATATTCTGTGACTAGGCAGCAGTCTAGCATATTTCGTACAAGGTCTGACTTAGGTCAGAAAGACTTTCGGCTAGAGGAGCCCCGAGAGGAGGGGCCTCTTGCAGAAGTCTATCTGAAGTGATTCAGACCTGCAAGCAAGGGTTTGGAATTTGTTTTATGGACCCTTCGCTTGAGAAGTCCATAAGTCAGAAACCAGATGATGACTGAAGAGTATAATGTCCTAGGAGCCCTAACTCGTGTCACATGCGGTGGTGCTTTCCCTTATGTGTTTGTCAAATGCATTGCTTGTGTGAAAAATACAACGACTATGCATGTGTTTGTCTCTAGATTCCTTGACACTGATGACTATGATATTCGACCCTACATCCTAGAAGGGACTGATCGGGATCCGAGTTTCTTTGCCAACTGGGATGTCATAGTGGAGTGTGTCAAAGTCGAGAGGGATCAATTGAGACAACAAGGGATAGAAGCGAGTTGGAGCTTAATGCGTAGGATTTATGAGAAGATTCCTACCCCGCCAGTGCCTGAAGGATTCTGTGATGGTAGAAACTGGCAACCAATCATCAATGCAGCACTGAGAAGGCAAACCCGGTAAGTAGTCAATGTCAGCAGTAGCGAAAGCGATAGAGGCGCTGACAAGGATCACGGCTGGGGGTGCCTTCCCGTACGTCATTGAGAGGTGTGTGACTTGTGAGCACGACTCAGTGATCTTGTACGTCCTTGTAGCTCGGTTTCTTGATACGGATGAGTATGATGTGAGGCCATACGTATCTGCTGAGACAAGGAGAGGGATCAATTATGAGGCATGTTGGATAGCTGCTGCTGAGTATGTCCTGGATGAAAGGTTGTTGCTGAGACAATGAGGGAAGAAAGTGACTTGGAGTGTCTTGCCTAGAGAGTTGAGAGATTCCCAAGTCCGCCTGTGCCCGCTAGCTTCTGCGACGGGAAAGACTGGGGACCAATCCTCAATGCGGTACTTAGGGACCGAATGTGGTGAGCCATGCCAAGAGATGTCTACACTCCTGATGACGGAGAGAGCTTCTGCTTCGAGGTCTATCTAGATGAGAAACGAGCGACTGTCATCGGGGCCGTGAGAGGATGCGACACTAGGCTAGGTAGACATGATGAGATTGGCATGGTATAGCACTACCTTGAGCTTATGCGGGCGACTGCTTTTAGAGCAAGTACAGGTTAGACTAAGATTAGGCATCTGCTGGACTGCAAGAGTTCGGATGGCAGGAGAGTGATGCTACACGCGAGAGACGATACTATTTTATCTAGACAGCATACTGCGGACAGTCTAGCTAGAGACGCTAGAAGCGGCCCAAGGCAGTGATACTGGAATGTGAAAATTTTATGTCAATTGTGACTGTGATCATTAGTAGAGGACAATTAAATAGAGTGACTGAAGCTAACAACCCCTTCGAGATAGTGAGACATGACGGATCGAAGATAAAGAAGGATCATGGGGGTTGCTAGGGACTAGGCAATGTCTGGTTACTGTCCGGCAGTCACGACAACACTTGACGCGTTAGTTCCTTTTACAAGTGGAGGAGCATTTTCCTACAAGGCAGAGCGATGCATATCCCTGGAAGAGAAACATGCACCTGGGAAGGCGTATATCCTTGTAGTGAAGTTCCTTGACACTGGTGAATATGATATCCGACCCTATGTTCCCTCATTGAGAGAGAGAGGGACAGATCGCAAGTCTTTTCGGAGCTGAATTAGTAATATAATTGACCAAGAAAAAAAAGAATTAGAGAGAAAAGGGATACGAGTAGTTAGTGACTTAACACCAATAGTGTTTGATAGGTTTCTCGAGCCCCGTCTGCCTGAAATTTTTACTAACGGCAGAAACTGGGAACCAATTTTAAACGCAATCCTAAGAGAGAAAAGGTTTAGGAAGAAATAAGAGCTTAGCTAGTAAGATAGACAAGATGGTCAGAGGACTGAATGCATAGCAGAGCGGTGCTAGTTCCTCCGCAGGGGACGGAGAAGTGACCACTACCGCCGTTCTGCAAGAAGTGTTGAACAGGATAGACGCCATGAAGACCGGGATGGACACTATGAATGTCCGGTTAGATCTTCCGAGAGCCAAGGTACCTCTAGAGAACATACCCTGTTTTGATGAAACTAAGGTTAGGGAGTTCTTGGAGGACTATGATGTCTTCGGTATGAGCTACGGTTGGTCGGACAAACAGAAGTTGAAAGCTTTGCTAGCCTATGTTGAGTCTAAGATGAGGGTGTCAGTGACAAAAACGACACAAGGGCTGACAACATGGGTGGAAGTTAGACAAAAAATGTTAGAGGAGTATGCGAAGTATGATGTTCCAACAACTATGCAAAATTTGTTGGATGTACGACGTTACCCTTCCTAGATGAGGCCCAGAAGTGTCATGTCCTGCTAACTAATTTTGCAGAGAATAAAAGAAAGAGTGTGGTAAGGCGCGCTGCCCATTACCCTCTGGAATGGGATGAAGTAGTTGAGATGGTCCGAGAGCTACCTTCGGTGTCAAACCAAAAATGGTCTCTGGAACAGATGAAAGCAATAACTAAAACGAGAGAAGGAAATGTTGAGGCAGCTGCGGGTGGAAACTTGAAGGCCGAGGAGATCCTTGGTCTTCTCGTTAAGCTTCGTAGCTTCGAAAAGTTAACCCTTCCTGCCCCAGCAACTCAAACACTTGTTGGAGCCAAAGAAGGTAAGGAAGAAAGAAAGAAGGAGAAGCAAAAGGAAGAGAGTGAGAGTGAGAGCGAAAGTAGTGATGAGGAAGACGTTAGGCGAAGGAGAAAAGAGAGGCAAAAGAAGAAGCGCGACCGGGATTGGAAGAAAGATAATAAGAGTCGAGATTGGCAAAAGAGAGATGGCCCCTTTCGATGTTATTATTGTGACGAGGAAGGTCATACTCTAACCCGGTGTCCGACACTAGAAAAGAAACTCGAAGAAGGGATTATAAAAAAAAACGCCAATGGGCACATCTGTGATGCCAATTGGAACAAGGTTGACTTCCGAGTCAAAGGTGGGATGCGAGCCGTAATCCTAGAAAAGGCTAAGGCCAATAAGGATAAAAAGAAGAAGGGTAGGGTTAATGTTATCACCTTTGATGGTATGCTACCTCCGGAGATAGTGGCTCGGGACGACAATCGTGAAAGTCAAAATCTAAATGTATCCCATGTCAGTCAAAAAGAGGTCGAAGAGAAAAAACGGGAGAAGGCTCAAAGAGAGCTAGACCAACTGATCGATGGGACCAAGGACCTAGTGAAGGAAGGGAAAGGAAAGGAAGCTGCCGGGAAAAAGAGGAAGGTGGTCTTGAGATCCGAGGCCAAGGAAGGGATCTCGATAGATGAAGTAATAAAGAAATTACTCGAGGAGACCGAGATCACCCTATCGTGGAAAGAGGCAGTAGCCTTGGTACCCAAGTTTAGGGAAGAGCTTAAGAAGATGGTTGAGAGGCGGAAGGTAGAGGTCAATAGTCTAAGGCTCTTCCCTCAGCATGTGGAAAGAGTTCCGCCTGGTACCAAAATGAGGTTTGACAACATGTCGTGCGGATATTTGAATATCTTCGTAAACGACATGAAAGTCAGAACTCTAGTGGACTCTGAGGCCGAGATGGTGCTCACATCCTCGGCCACAATGAGGTCATGTGGGCTCGGGATACACAGGAAGGTCAATCATCAACTTTCCAATATAGCCGGATTCCTGCCTTTGGAAGGTTTTATTGATGATTTGCCTATTCGGATTGGGACTTTACGGGCCGCGATCCTCAGTTTTGTGGTCCCTAACTTGGATCATGACTGCACTCTCGGAGTCCCTTTTCTACATAGAATGGAGGCTTGTGCGTTCTTTGGCCATGATGGGGCGGTCTGGCTCTCTCTTCAGGCCCCAATCACTAGTCAAGAACAAACCTTTGTGATAAGTGATAGGCATCATCCTTGTCATCAGCGACATGTTAATTCTCTTAAGCATGGAGAATCTAACAAGCTGATAGAGGAAGTACGAGCAAAACTGAAAGAAAGTGGAATAATAGACGAGAAGACAACGATTAGAGTGAATGATATCGGGAAGATGCTTAAGCTCCTGGATAAAGAGGAGCTGGGCGATAAGAGAGAGATGGAAGGATTCAAGGATGTTGTGAGGGCGGCAAAAGCGGGGACAATGCAGCTCACCTTCTATACAACTAGGCCTTTTTTAGGAAAATAGCCACCAGGTCTAAGAGGAAGTATAAGTGCAAAGACGTTAAGAAGAAACCGGTGATCGTTCTGATAGAGAAGGATCACAATGAGGCATTGGAGAAGGAAACAAAGATAATTAAAAGATTAAGAGAGGCTGCATTAAAATGAGGGAGAATTACCCTAGAGAGGTTCAAGGTAATGAAGGTAGGAGCCGATAACTTCCTTCTGCCGACTGAGAGGGATTTCATATGTGAATTATATCAGAAATATAGTGGTGCCTTTTCCTTTAATGATGAGGAGAGGGGACAACTGGACGTTGACATGATCAAAATGGTCAAGATTTGGACCGTTCCTCACACGCCTTGGAATGACAGACCCACAAAGTTTGCTCAAAAGGAAGAAAAAGAGGTAATGAAGTACATAAACCAGAAAATCACCTCCAACATTGCGAAACCAGCTGATGGAACTTACGCCAATCACTGGTTTTGCTTTTGGAAGCCAGGTGGTGGCCTGCGCTGGATACAGAACTTGCAAAAGTTGAATTCGGTAACAGTTCGCGATGCAGGTAGTTTACCCAACGCGGATCCATTGGCCTTGTCTTTTGCCGGAAGGAGCATCTACTCCCTAATAGACTTGTACTCTGGCTATGACCAATTCCCGATAGATCCTACTAGTCGACCTATGACCGTTATGCATACACCTAGAGGCCTCATACAAATGTGTGTGGTGCCTCAAGGGTGGACGAATGGGGTCGTGGTCGTCCATCGAGACATGCTGAAGGTCATGGAGGACATATGCCCAAAAGTTATGTTTCCATACATTGACGACAATCCAGTTAAAGGACCAAAGGAAAAATATGAGACTTTAGTGGATGGTCGAGTCAGGCGGTTCGTATGGGAACATGCGCAGGGAGTAGCGAAAGTACTGGAAGCTAAGTACAACCTAATGGTCAGCGGACCGAAATCATTATTGTTCCAAAGAGAGGTAACGATCTTGAGTTTTAGGTGCTTCTTGGAAGGAAGGAGCCCCGATCCGAAGAAAGTGGATAAACTACTAAACTGGCCTATGCCTCTAAAAACGGTAGGGCAAGTAAGGAGCTTCCTAGGGGTCTGCAGCTTCTGGCGGATCTTCATCCCCGGGTTTGCCAAGATAGCCGAGCCCCTTAGAGAGATGGTGCGACAAGGAGCTAGCTTAGGGTGGTCTGACCAAAGAGAGAAGGCTACGCGGACACTTCAAGATAAGTTAAGAGATGGCGGGGTCGTATTGGGAGTACCCTACTTCGACGATGAAAGGGAGAGGCCATTCATCGTTGAAGCCGACGGCGGCCCGATAGCATTAAGAAGAGTGCTCGTGCAGCAAGATGAGAATGGTAAAGAAAAGCCACTTATATTTGAGAGTCACACATTTAATTCGGTTGAGAGGGGCTATATTCAGATCAGGAAGGAGCTCTTGGCAATCCTGCACTTCCTTAGGGTGTTTAGACACTATGTTATGGGGCAGAGATTCATCCTAAGAACGGATTCCACGGCGGTAATCGGGGCCGTTAAGAGGCATCAGCAAGTAGATGCTACGGTTAGTAGGTGGATAACTCATATATGGACGTATGATTTTGTGTTAGAAAAGGTACCTACTGAAAAGAATCGAGCCGATGGGCTGAGCCGCGTAGGATGGGGATCAATAGATGATGAATCTCTTGAGGAGGCACCCTTCGTTGACGAATTCCTTATGGAAGACGATGATGAAGGACTACCTCCAGCTCCCAGTTGTTATACAGCCTCAACCATAACAACGAGCAAGGAAGAGTGTTGGGGAGAAAAGGAAGACCGTTACCTCTACTACCTCTTAACTCAAGAGGATGAGGAGGAAGGATGGTATGGGATGGTAGAACAAGCTGCTGTTGCAGCTCATGAGCTGGTAGAGAGTTCAAGGATGGTTGAACGAAGGCTGAATGAGATAGAGAAAGAGTCGGATGACCAGGAGCAAGATAAGGACGCTGAGTAGAGATTTAGGAAGGATGAGTATGATGGGGAATATAAGAGGATTGGTATGGTAATGAGCAGTAATCAGTTGGACGAATTCTACCATGAGAAGACAAAGATAACCCTCAGGCTACGTAGGAGTCACCTTTTTGTGGATGCAAAGGAAGGACTACCTCCATTGAGAGTAGTGTGTGGTAAGGAAAGGCAGCTAGAGGTGATCGTCGTGCTGCATGAGGGTCTAGCAGGGGGTCATAGGGGTGTTGATGCTACATACTATAAAGTATCCCGACTATATCATTGGGATGGTCTGAGGGATATGGTTATGAGATATTGTAAGTCGTGTGAAGCCTGTCAGAAAAGATCATCTATGAGATTGATTGAACCCTTATACCCCACTGTTCTTGTTGAACCTGGCAGTACTGTTCACCTTGATCTAATCAATATGCCACCTGGTAAGGATGTAATGAAATATGTACTAAATATGAGAGATAATATGTCTGGTTATGTTGACCATCCGTAAGAAAACCGCAAAAGCAGTGGCAGATTGGATCGAGGAAATCTATCTAAGGTACCCCTTCGTACGTGAGTTTGTGGCTGATCAGGGATCAGAGTTCAAGAACGAGATGGTCAGGAGACTCATGTTCAAACTTGGAGTCAGGATCAGATTTAGGACACCATATCATCATCAGGCTAATGCACCAGTGGAAAGAGGTCACAGGACACTAAAGGACGTTATATCAAAATGGTGCCAAGGTGACTCCAGGAACTGACCATCTTTCTTGAAGGCGGCTGTCTATACTGACAATGTGACTGTCAAACGGACTACAGGTTATGTACCCATTACACTCTGGTATGACAGGTATTCCACTTCTCCCATTGAGAACCTGGTTGAGACCTGGACCCATGAGGCGCAGAGAGAGTCATACTCCACAGAGGAGTTGCTGAGGCTGAGGATCAGGCAGATCAAGGAAGTGCATGAGGCTATAATTGAGGCCACAAAGAGGATGTCGGACAACAGATTATCTGATCAGACACGATGAAACAGCAAGAGGTACATCAGGAAGGAACGACTTCGGGTCGGGGATATTGTACTTCTGCATGATACATCTCTCGAGACACAGTGGACCAAGAGATTAGAGGCCAGGTGGATGGGACCATTCAGGATCATCAGAGAGGTGGAAGGCAAGGCCTATGAGTTAGCAGAGATGGATGGCACGAGATCCCATGGTATAATATCCGGCTTCCGGCTCCGAAAATTCATACTTAGAGATGCAGATTTGATTCCGAGTTCGGGCAGAGTGATGAGGCGAGGCCCGTGAGCCGTCTAGCATCAGCCTGGACATGCTGAGTCGTGACTAGTGTGCCCTCAATATCGGTTGGGATGTGGTGAGAGCGGGATCTTTTATATGCTGGGACGTGGACAGTGTGCCGCCAACTTCAGAGATTATATGCTGGGACGTGGACAGTGTGCCGCCAGCTTCGGATGATTATATGCTGGGACGTGGACAGTGTGCCGCCA